GTTTTAGAAGAAGTGGCCGGCTGCTTCTCAGCCGCCACTGTTTTCCTGGAAGACCCAGGAGAGCTTGCAACAGTCGTCCTCCGGGCCTTGGGGTCCGGCTGTTGCGAGGAAGAAGCTCTTGGAGTGCCAGACTGAAAACAAAAAGAGTTAGTATATGCATAAGACAACTCCTAAAAGAGGAAGAGTTTTCGAAGCCTACCAAGGGTGCCCCCTTGTTGGGGGAGTCGGCACAAGACTGTTGCATGAGAGAGGCCCGCAACATGGCCGCCGCAGTCTTGGATGCTGTTATTTTACTCATGGCGTCAGCTGCAAAAAATAAACAGCAAAGTTAGTAAAGATCCCAAGTAAACAAGGCGTGAAAAAAAAAACAGAGTATTTGTCAGGCCGGCTACCTCTAGAGCACCGACTGCTGAGGCCACAGGCGGCCAAAAAGTACTCGTCATAGAGCCACTTGAAGCTCGGGACGCAGTTTAGGGGTACTTGCTCTCGTACCCCTGAAGTAGAGTTCACCCTAGTCTCTACTTTGAAGAGTCCTTTGTCTAGGATCTCTCTTTTAGCCTTTGGGGGAACAGGCGGCATGCTGCGGCCGCCTGCGAGAAGAGGCGGATCCCTATTCCACTTGTTAAAACGTTGGTTCAGCTCCGTGTCTGAACCCTCAATGATAAGGAAGGTGTTCCGCCAATCCTTCCATTTGTTCGCCTTACCTCTCGTCATGAGGTAACCCCTATGGCTTGTTAATTGATACTAGCCGGTACCTCCCGACTTAGGGGTCCGGCTGAGATAGTTCATGTGGGCGAAAGCCTCAAAGCTTGGCTCCACCCCGTACATTTCGCACCCGGCCACATAGCCGAGTACGTTTACCCAAGAGTTGGGGGCTAACTGCCATAACCCCAAATCATACCCATCTAAAATCCGCTGAACAGCCGGATGTAATGGGAAGCGCAGTCCAGCTTTGATGGCCGCCACATAGCAGCCAAAGCAGTCGTCATCATAGCTGGTACCAGCTGGCCAGACGACAGTGTCTTCTGGATCCGGCACGAACAGTAAAAATTCCGGGCCCATTCTGTGGTTAGCAATAAAGCTCTCCACTTTGTCTTGCATGGTTGCGATCCGGCCCCGGGGTACCATGCAGTAGTAGGGGGCGTTTTCCTCTCTGTAAGAGGCGGACGGCTCCGCCCAATTGTCCCCCTTCTCAACTGCATGAGAAAGTCTCGCCTCTTGTAGGCGGCTATGTCTTTCTTCTGAGCCTGGAGAACTGTGGCCAGAAGAGCTGGACTCGGACTCGTCCTCTGACGAGTCCGAAGAGGACGACTCCTCCCCTCTCCCAGAGGGGCCCGCCTCCTCTCCCTTAGAAGGAGCAGGAGGAAAATTAGACATATCAACGGTAAGATGGGAAGGGACCACCTTGGCCCCTCTCTCAGAACTGTCGGCTTGGCAGCCGCCTCGTTTCAATTCTACATCTGGCGCCTGGTCAGATGTTTCACTAATGAGCACCCTTTGGGAGGAGCCGTCTGAGTTTGATATCATAGCAGTCTTTTTTGTTCTGGCCATCACGTTCTGCATAGACACAGATACAGTCGGACTTTGTATAAAGGGCAAAGATGGGTCCAGAAAAGGGCAGGCGGCACTCCTAGTCCTAGATTCAGCCGTCCCCGGTGACCGGCTGATCACTAACTTAGGTCGTGTCGTGTGCTTCCGTGGTGCCATTTCAAAAAATAAAAAGAAAATTAAGAGTAAGAGAACTGAGTTACCTGAACGAGTGACGGTTGATGAAGTTCTTGAAATCCGGTGCAGTCGGCTTGTCAGAACAGGCGGTAGGCAGAAAAGGTCCGAAATGTCAGAGCAAGTTCAGGGGTCCGAATGTTCTCGCAAAGTTCTCAAATGTGAAAATGACCGAAGTCAGCACTTCCTTATATAGGCAAAGTGAGAAGGCGAAGGGTCGCTTCCAAATTCAAAATTTGGGCGGGAAAATCTCTCGGCCGTTTGCAAGGTGACACCTGTAGCAGGCCGTCGCCTGTCACTGTGCGACACCTGTCACAGGCGACACGTGACCAGTCACGTGCCACCTGTGAGGGGCAAATGATTAGGGGATTTTTATCCACCAATCACCGTCTGACAAGTGGACCAACCAGGTTCCGCCACGTGTCCTTCACGAAGGCCAATAGGAGCCTGCCACGTGTCAATCACAGATACGTCCTCTACGGACCAATCGAGGCACGCCACGTGTCCACCCATGCCAAATGGGAAAACCGGCCAACAAGGCCCAATCCTGTCTAGAGGCCCGGTCAGCCCTAGGTTTACCCTAAACCTAGAGAGTGGCACGCTTCTCAAGACTATAAATACTTAATTAATCCTCATTAAAAGGGATGAAGCAATTGAGAGGCAATTGATCAAGCAATTAATCTCACCTGAAGAACAGAGAAGAACAGAAACATTACGGAACACTAATAACCGGCTAATCTCGCTAGCAAAGCAGATTACCAACATTAAACACTCTCACCTAGAGAGGTCTTATTACTTTAATTTCCGTATTAATTACTCCTTAATCAGGTACTAAATTGACCGTTGGAGGCGGAGCTCTCAGGAGTCTCCGTTATTTTGCAGGTACAGGCGTCCGGTTCCAGTCTCGGAATTGTAACTCTCCCGCAGGACATCAGAAAACCCCGAAACACGAGGCATCTTTGATTTACCCTACACCTGGACTTACAATTAGCCAAGTTAAGCGTATTTATGCTAGTTTGATTCGACCCACCCGAATAATTAACATAATCGAGCCTTAAAAACTTGCTTTTACCCATATTAACAATCGGATTCTTTCTCACACACGAGTCCGACCCGGTGCTCCGCCTTAAACCCGGTGGGCACACGCATTCGTAACCCGAAAAAGTTAGCCCATTACTATAACAAATATAACCCGGCCCACATAAACCATGTATTTGACAAATCTCAAGCACAGCCAACCAAACAGGAGCCCATGAGTGCTTATCCGGGTCATAACTAAAGAACCGAAGGTTCCCATCATCACCCAAGGTAAGTCTTCGGGTTCGATTCTGCCCGAAATCCGCCAAAGTAATCGGGTTCCCACCATTTTGTTGGACTAGCCCATTAACACCAAAACTCACAAACGGATTAGCCGCAGTCCGAATCCGACCCGTTAAAAACCAAACTACTTGACCCGTTAAAGCTAAACTTCCCATTTCTAGAAACTAAAACGGTGTCGTTTCCAAAAGTTTGATACGGAAGAAAAGTATCAGTTGGATGATCAAAACTCTGCCAAGAACCAAACACCAAATTCCCATCATCCCTGAGAAACAATCCAGTGGAGTTCGAGTTAACGGAAGCTGGGGTGGACCATATTGTGGGCCCTGAAGAGCCGTTGGTTAGCCGAAGTTGACCATTAGAAGTGATGATCAAGGAAGCCGAAGCTTGAAAAGGGATACCCCAGTTGGCAGACCAAACTATGGTTTGATCAGAGATGTTATACCAAATTGAGAATGTGTATAGGTTTGAAGAACCCGGGAAATGTCGAAACCCGGCTGCGAAAGCCGAGCGAGGGGAGATAAGGGTTTTGTTCTGAGATGGTTGCCATGGGGAGTTTGAGGTATTGAAAGAGGAGAGAGATTGAGCAGAGGAAGATGGTGAAGATGTTAGAAGGTTGATTATTAGGAAATTAAGGAGAATAAATTGGAATTTCATTTTTTTTTTTTTTTGGAGGGATTGTTTGGGATTTTGGAGGGGTTTGAGGTGTGAGTGGTGGAAGGTGCTTTAATGGCGGCTATCATTTGAATTATTGGTATGTATGTGAAATTTGACAGTTTGACCATTGACATTTTTTCAATAATGACAAAGATTGATTTATTTTATCGACAACTTGGCATTTATTAATTTGATATTGGGTTTAATAATATCGGAGAATTGATAAGTTTCGACTTTCGAGTAATTTGTACACTAGTTTTGTACTCCCTTCATCCTTAAAAAAAGGTCTTACAATTGTATTTTTGTAAGTCAAACTTTACATGCTTTAATATGAATCCTCATCTATCTATAACAAAAAAAAAATTTATCTCACAAATAATACTCTTTTGTTGTAAATAATAACAAAATGAAGGCAGTATTAAAAATGAAATGGTATTGAAATTTTTTAAAGATTCATTTCAAAGCATGTTCCCTTTAGAAGATCACTTTTAATTTCTATGCATATATGCTTTGACAATTTGTTGCTCAGGAATCTACTCTCTTTGACTATTTTCACTATTTATCACAATAGCTTTTACCATAATATTTTACTAACATAATAAAAACATATTTTATCATAATATATGTGGTTAGATAGGTATAAATATAAAGTTTCATAATATTATTTTTAAAATAATTTTCTTAATATTTAATTATATAAAAACAAAGTCAAACTAATGCATTGACATGTAAGCAAAATTAACTGTATCAATTATTTTGAGACAGAGGGAATATATAATACAAAAAATATCATTTTGTCAATTTTCTACCACAAACCTTTAGGGTCCTTAATTCTCAATTTCTATGCACTCCCATTATATATAAAATAAAAGAAGATATTTTCGTATAACTTCCCATAATTTTCAAGTGTTACATTGTGTTCCTTTATAAATACGTATGTAATGTATCCCATTTATTAACATGAGCATATTCTAATTTATACTACGTATTAATTTAATGTACCTACTATGGACCGAGTAGTTTTGTTATTTAAACGCACACAGTATAAGGCCAGTGGTACTAAATCTATAGTAGCAGTATTCATGTTTGATGCTGGAAATGTTTTTAATATTGCTACTTTTGATCTGTGAAGCACGGACACGCCTCATAACAGAGGTGTCCGAGTCAACTCGCGTGTCCGACACGGACACGGATGGGACACAGTACGATACGTGTCCGACACACCAAAATCCGTGTCCCGTTTTTTTTTTTTTTAAATGATGCATGGACACGGACCGTGTCACCCCAAGACACGACCCGTTTTAACGTGGACACGCCATTTTGTATTCCAGCCCAAGTCCCTCAAAGTCTCAAACCCTACTGCTCCTTTCAATCCTCTCTATCTCTCGTCACTCAACCCAAATCGTCGCTGACTGACCACCAGTCCACCACTCGTCACCGCCTGACCGTCGTTCAGCACTCATCGTCGCCTGACCACCGTCGCAAGTCTCATTCTCAGTTATCTCTTTGACTCTTTCTCGAATTTAACGAAACCCCCTTTAATCCTCTATTCCTCTGCCGTCACTCTTCGCTTGTCGCCACCGTCCACCGTCGCTCGTCGGCCTCGCTTTTCACCGCTGGTGCTCTCAGCCTTCTCATGTAATCCTCTCATTCTCGTTTTCATTTGAATTAATCCCTTAATTCGCTCATCACTGATTTTGCTTAATTCACGATTTTGCTTAAATTGGCTGGTGTTGTTTCACTGTTTCAGTTGTTTGTTGCGTCTGCGTGGGCCTGACTGTCGCACTGTTCATTGTCGTCGCTCGTCGCCCGCCATTGCTGGTCATCATTGTTGCCCTGTTCAAGTAGGTCTCTCGTCCTCTCACCGTAGTTTATTGCACTGTTCAGGTTATTTGTTGTTGGGCTTGTTAGTGTTACTTGCTAGATGCTATTCTTGCTACTTGTTTAATTTGATTTGATATGAGATGTTTGGGATTTGGATTGAAGTACAAAAATTTGCAAGAATGTCTTCTAGTATTGTACATGTGCACTGTGTAATTTGATTGTGTTGTTTGAGCTGAACTGGAAATGTTTGATTTGCTGAAAATGTGTTGTTGTCTTGCTGAAATTGTCAGGAATGTCTTCTAGTGGTTCTAGTGCCTCTGGTTCGTGCAATGTCAGTGGTAGTAGTAATTCATCTGAGTCTATGAAAGACCCCTACCCTTTGTGAAAGTTTGTTGTTAAGGGTGATAAAATATCGGGTGGTGGAGGAAATTATAATTGGAAATGTAACTTTTGCGGCAAAGTTAAAAATGGTTCATACACTAGAGTGAAAGCTCATTTGCTATGTGAAACAGGGAAAGGGATTCAAACTTGTAGTAAAGTGAACATTGATGACCTTGCTAAACTAAGAAAGCTTCATCGTGAATATGAGGATTATAAAAAATCTTTGTTACCAAAAGTTCCACCTTTTTCAAATGAACCCATATCTTCTCACACATCAACTGAAGCTACATCAGTTAGACTAGGTTCATCTGATAATGTAAAGAAGAGGAAATCAAACAATACAATTTCTGATGCTTTTAATATGAAATCTCGTGACCAGTTAGATTCTTAAATTGCTAGGATGTTTTACACAGGGGGGTTGCCTTTTAATCTTGCTAGGAACCCTTACTATGTTAGTTCATATACAATTGCTGCCAATTCTAATCTCTCTGGTTATAAGCCTCCTGGATACAACAAACTTAGAACAACTTTGCTTTGTTAAGAGAAAGAAAACGTGGATAGGTTATTACAACCTATTAAAGCCACATGGAAAACAAAGGGTGTTAGCATTGTTAGTGATGGGTGGAGTGATCCACAAAGAAGGCCTTTGATTAACATTATGATTGCTTCCGAAACGGGTCCTATGTTTATGAAAGCTATTGATTGCTCGGGTGAGATTAAGGACAAAGATTTCATTGCTACCTTATTAAGTGAGGTGATTGATGAAATTGGAGATCAAAATGTTGTTTAAATAATCACAGATAATGCAAGTAATTGTAAGGCTGCAGGGGAATTGGTTGAGGGTAGGTATCCTCATATATATTGGACACCATGTGTTGTTCATACACTTAATCTTGCAATGAAAAGCATTTATGCAGCTAAGAATGTGTTGAATAATGTTGAAGTATATGATGAATGTCATTGGATAACGGAAGTTCATGCAGATGCCTTGTTCATTAAAAATTACATAATGAATCATTCGATGAGGCTTTCAAAGTTCAATAAGTTTTCTCCATTAAAACTACTTTGCATTGCCGATACTCGTTTTGCTTCTATTGTGTGCATGCTTAAAAGGTTGAAACTCCTTAAAACATCACTTCAATCAATGGTTATTAGTGAGAATTGGTCCTTATACAAGGATGATCGACGCGGGCAAGCCTCACATGTAAGGGAAAAGATTTTGGATGAAATATGGTGGGACAAAGTTGATTACATTCTTGATTTCACACGCCCAATCTATGATATGATTAGGGTTTGTGACACCGACAAATCTTCCTTGCATTTGGTTTATGAAAGATGGGATATTATGGTTCAAGGGGTGAAAGATGCCATCTACAAGAAAGAGGGTAAACTAGATTATGAAGAATCTACTTCTTTAATGTAGTTAAAGGGATTCTTAGTAGCCGTTGGAGTAAGGGTAGTACTCCACTCCATTCATTAGCACATTCTTTGAATCCAAGGTAAATTTTTTGCTTATTTAATCCATTTTTATTATCTTTATTTATTTTTCCTTGTTTTTTATTTTATTTCTTATGGCTAATCTTATTTTGTTGTTAAAGATTTTACACGGAAGAATGGCTTAATCAGGTCCCGGGATGAGTTGCTCCAAGTGCCGACAATGAAATTTCCACACAAAGATTACAATGTTTTCGAAGGCTTTTCCAAAGTCCTGATGAAAGATTCAAGATCAACACGGAATTTGCTATATTTTCACAAAAATCAGAGGGGATCTTTCTCAACATTGATTGCATGCATGATATGGCTTTGATGGATGCTAAAAATTGGTGGATAACTTATGGTTCCCAAGTGCCTATGCTTCAAGGTTTGGCTTATAAGCTATTAGGTCAACCTTCTTCCTCTTCTTGTAGTGAAAGGAATTGGAGCACCTATAAGTTTATTCATTCTTGCACTAGAAATAAGCTTACTCCTAAACGTGCTCAAGACTTGGTATACATTCATAACAACCTTCGATTACTTTCTAGGAGAACACTAAGGGGAGATCTAAGTTGTGGGATGTGGGTGGAGATGAGCATGACCACCTAGGAGAGGTTGGTATTCTAGAGATGGCCGAGCTCTCACTTGATGAACCCGAGATGGAAAGTATGATTTTTGATGATGTACTTGGTGATGGTGAAGAATGAAACTATTAGTACTTATGTTTATTTTATTTATGATTTGTAAAACTATTATTAAGACATGTATTTGGTTCGATGGTTTCTTCCTATGTATGCGACTATGTTCGTACACTTTGTTTTTTTACTTTGTTTAAACAAATTTGTGTGTTTTGAGGCTAAATTTTTAGTGTTTTATTGAACAGGTTGTCAAATTCTCGTTTTTTGGATATATTATATGTCTTGTTATACGCCGTACCCGTGTCCCCTATTTCGATTGCCGTTTTCCCGTGTCCGTATCGTGTCCGTGTTCGTGTCCGTATCCGTATCCGTGCAACATAGCTTTTGATGGCACATATTTACTTAAAGATTACATATAACACTTAAAAAAGTTTTGGAAAACAAATTTACAGTAATCGATTTAGATGTAAGATATATTTCTAATAAAATGTCTTCGTTTTTATAATATTCTAATTTAAACTCTCTTGGTAATTCAGTTCCAATATCGTTTGCATGGTTATCTTGGGTTCGTTACGTTCTTGACACATATATAGCCATATAAAATAATTTTAAACGTATGAGTTACTCCGTAGTAATTAATTGTCAATTCAAAGAAGGTTGATCTATACACAATTAATTGTTAGTATTATCTCTATTTGATTCTCTATGGTTTTTTGGTCCTTCGGTATGAAAAGTTCAAAAGTCTTCCTCGGTTTGACCCTTTGTCTTGCCCAAATATTCAAAGAGCATACCAGTAAGACTTTCAATGTCAAAACAAGCTGGATCTAATAACATACTAGGAATTGGTAGTCAAAGAGCAAGATCCTACCTGGCACGAAAATGGTTTGACTCAACACGAGTTTGTCACAAACCCGGTATAAAAATAATCTGACTTGACGCGAGTTCGTCACAGGCTCCGCACAAAAATGGTTTGACTCGACATGAGTTTGTGACAAGCCCTACTCGATGTTAGAGGTTTTGCTAATTTTTTCTTGGCTCATTCTAGGCATTGAACATCATGAAGGAATGTTAGCACGACACATGAGATTTGGCCTACATGGCCGGCCCATGCTTAGGCCACCCTTAACTAATATACACTCAATTGAATTGATAATTTGATTTAGGTCAGTGATTTTTTTAGTTGAATGTTTCTTTATCATATTTTCAACACTTAATGTGTCAAATCATAAATAAAAGTTAATATTATGTATATGTATTTTGAGACGATTCTAATAAGATTCCACATGATTATGTTTTATCATAACTATAAATTACAAAATTATTTCAATCCCTTCCATTACAAGAGATCTTGGGATTGATTCGCTTTACCCGTCCTTGTGGCTCTCTAAACACTAAAAAACAAAATTATTTCAAAAGTAGAATTTGTAAATATTCTTAAAAGTCAAAACTTATCAAATATGAGTTAATTGTTGTACTGGTTAGTGATTTCACATGTTGTAGCATGTTGCATGTAACACTAAACAGTACAACAACCCTTCTAACATTATTGAATGTTTAGCCTCCCTAACAATGTAACCTAGGTCTTACAACTCTACAAGAGTGTCGAATTATACGGACCAAATCCAATTTAATTCAACCGCCAGCAAATTTTTTTAAAAATAAATAAAATAAAAAAATACATTCCTAATTTTTTTTTTTGGTGCAAAAAAATACTTTCCTATATAATTCTATCATATATCTTTGAAAAGTCCCATGCAAGGTAAGGCTAATATTGAATCAAGTGGCTTTAACACACCGTAGAGCCTACGACGCTATTAGAGACAACCATTATTTTCACGAAGAAAAACCCAATTTTTTTTTGTGGATGATTGTATGTACTACGTATAAATCATGTTCAATGTCACAAAAATCGTACTACCTTTGATTTGTTATTAATTACTTTGGACCGTATTAGTCACGTAATCGTGAAGTTTAACAGAATTGTATCATGCGTCTCTCTATTCACTAACAAGTCTCAAGTCACAACTATTCAACAAACGAAACTCATGGCAATCGGAAAGCAACTATTCCCTCAAATCCTTCTTTCTCAATTCGCTCCAAATTAAAGAATAATTTTCAAATGTTTAAAAATCTTGATTGGAACTTTCCATGCGGGGTTTTTGTATTTATTGTCTTATTTTTTTTTTAATCTTTAATCTCATTCGCTTTCTTTATAAAGGAGGTAGGAGGCAAACTCAACACCACAATAAAACTTGAGGTAACCTTAGAGGGATAGAGGAATTATATTACGATTACTTTTTATTAATAAAATCATATTACCTCATACACCCACTAATTTAAACCATCATCATGAGAGCTCAAATCATCTTCTTCCTCTTAATTATTTGCAATTTTTACTTCTTTTTAGCATCTTCCAAACCATCAAATTATCTACGTAGAGGCTCTTCATTGACTGTCGAAGATGCTTCATCGAAACTTCTCGTCTCGCCGGACAAAACCTTCACTCGTGGCTTCTATACTTTCAGTGACACCACCCATGCCTATTACTTCTCAATTTGGTACACCAACTCTAAGGAAAAAACCGTCGTGTGGACGGCTAATCGAGATAAACCCGTAAACGGCCATGGCTCAAGGCTGACCCTTACGAAAGATGGTGCACTAGTCTTAACTGACCGTGGTGGCTCATTTGCGTGGGAAACAAATACTTCCTCATTCGCGGTTGATAGAGCCGAGCTTCTTAACTCCGGGAACCTTGTTCTTAAGAACAAAAGTGGTAAAATTCTTTGGAAAAGTTTTGATTTTCCTACTGATACTTTGTTACCTAATCAAATTTTTACAAAGAACCAAAAATTGATTTCTCGAATATCTCCGCAAGTTTTTAGTCCTGGCTACTTTAGTTTTTACTTTGATAGTGATAATGTGCTAAAAATGGTTTACGATGGCCCTGAATTTTCAAGCATATATTGGCCTAATCCTGATGTTGATGTATGGCAGAATGGTAGAACAAGTTACAATAGTACTAGGGTTGCGATTCTTGATGATACGGGTGCTCTTGTATCGAGTGATAGACTACAATTCAGTGCTTCCGACATTGGTTTAGGGGTTAAAAGAAGGTTAACAATGGATTATGATGGGAATTTGAGGCTTTTTAGCTTGAATGATATGTCCGGGTTATGGACCGTAACATGGCAAGCTATTATTCAACAATGTGATGTACATGGTTTATGTGGTAGGAATGGGATTTGTAGTTATACACCTGACCCTAAATGTTCATGCCCTCCGTACCATGAACCCGTGAATTCGACAGATTGGAGCAAGGGATGCAAGCCTAGATTTAAAAGGG